TGAGTTCCTCACCTAGAAGGGTAAATACATCATCATCATAGGATTATTGTAAGAGTTAAGTGAGATAAAGTATTAGAGCATTCAGTGGTACATCTGAAATGTACTAAGTGCTAAATAAATGTGCTGATAATAGCAACAACTAAATAATTACTGATTTGGGGCCTTTTTAATATAGGAGTAATTAGAGTTTCGATGCTCAGAATAGATGACGGTTTAGGTTGTAAGAACTCCTATATTACTCATAAACATAGCTTTTGAGTTTTTAAATACTATATCTTGAAATTAATTCAAAGTTACAGCAAAGATGCAAGCAAAGGACTCTTGTATATACTTTAACTGGATTCTGGTTTTAAACATCTTGCCACATTTGTTTTATTATTCCGTTATCACATTTTTTCCTGAACTATTTGACCTTTTAGTCTTTAATGCTTAAGTGTATTAAGCATGTTTCCTAAGAATATTCCTTCATATAACGAGTGTAATTATCAAATTCAAGAAAGATAGCATGAACACAGTACTTCAATCTATAGGTTCAATTATAATTTTGTCTACTGTACCCATAATGTCACCTGTCCTCCTACTCCCCCACCCAGTAGGATGGTACCCAGACCTTTCTTTGTCTTTCTTTCTTTTTTTTTATTTTTTTGAGTTGGAGCCTCACTGTGTCGCCCAGACTGGAGTGCAGTGGCACATTCCTGGCCACCGCAGCCTCGACCTGCTGGGCTCCAACAATCCTTCTGCCTCAGCCTTCCAAGTAGCTGGAACTACAGGCACGCGCTACCACGCCCGGCTGATTTTTTGATTTATTGTAGAGATGAGGTCTCTCCAAGTTGCCCAGGCGAGTCTCGAACTTGCAGGCTCAGGCAATGACTCACCTCAGCCTCCCAAAGCGCGGGATTACAGGCTGAGCCACCGAGCCTGGCTTTTTTGTCTTTCATAATTGACTTTTTTTTTAGAGTACAGGCCAGTTATCTTAAAGAATGTCACCCAATGTGGCTTCATCCCGTGTTTCCTCATGACTAGATTCAGGTCATACACATTTCTGACTAGAACACTACAAAAGCGATGCTGTGTTCTTTCTCATTCACAGGCATACAAGTCCACTTGCCCTGTATTGGTGACAACGAGTTTGATCACTCGGTTAAGGAATTGTGGGGGATCTCCATTGTATGTAGTTACTATTTTTTTCTTTTGTAATTAATAAGTAATTTATAGAAAAGATAGTTTAAGAATATCTAGCCAGATGCAGTGGCTCATGCCTGCAATCCCAGCACTTTGGGCGGGCAGAGGCGAGAGGATTGCCTGAGCCCCGAGGTTCAAGACCAGCTTGGGCAACTTTGGGAGACCTCGTCTCTACAGTAAATCAAAAAATTAGCTGGGCATGGTGGTGTGCACCTGTGGTTTCAGCTACTTGGAAGGCTGAGGCAGAAAGATTCCCTGAACCCAGCAGGTCCAGGCTGCAGTACCCTGAACATGCCACTGCACTCCAGCCTGGGTGTCAGGGGTGACAGTTCGATTCAGGGAAAAAAAAAAAAAAGCATATCTAAATAGACCATTCCACAAATTCCCTCCACCTCTGCTAGGTTTAGCATCTGTTGATAATTCTTGCCTGATCAACTTTTACTATGATGGTTGCAAAATGATTTTCTTTTTCTTTTTCTTTTTTTTTTTTTTGGAGGTGGAGTCTCACTCTGTAGCCCAGGCTGGAGCTACACTCCCAGCCACACTCCCAGCCACCGCAGCCTCAACCTGCTGGGCTCTGGCAATCCTTTCGCCTCAGCCTTCTAAGTAGCTGGAACTACAGGCACGCGCTACCACGCCTGGCTAATTTTTGATTTTTTGTAGAGATGAGGTCTCAGCAAGTTGCCCGGGTAGGTCTCGAACCCGCGGGCTCAGGCAATCCACTCGCCTCAGCCTCCCAAAGTGCTGGGATTACAGGCTGAGCCACTGCGCCCGGACTGCAAAATGATTTTCTAATTCCATCATTCCTTCTACATTTATTCATTGACATTCGATATAGTCTGTATATTTGTCCCCTACAAATCTCACATTGAATTTGATCCTCAGTGTTGGAAGTGCAGCCTGGTGGGAGGTGTTTGGATCAGGGGGCAGATCCCTCACGATGGCTTGGTTCCTTCCCCAAAGTAATAAGTGAGTTCTCGTTTTATTAGTTCGTGTGAGAGCTTGTTGTTTTGTTTTGTTTTGTTTTTGTTTTTGAGTCGGAGTCTCACTCTGTCACCCAGACTGGAGTGCAGTGGCCGCTCCCGGCCATCATAGCCTCGACCTGTTGGGCTTCGGTGATCCTTCCGCCTCAGCCTTCCAAGTAGCCGGAACTACAGGCATGTGCTACCACGCCCGGCTCATTTTCTTTTTTTTTTTTTTTTGATTTATTGTAGAGATGCAGTCTCGCCAAGTTGCCCAGGCGGGTCTCGAACCCGCGGGCTCAGGCAATCCACTCATCTCAGCCTCCCAAAGGCGTGGGATTACAGGCTGAGCCACTGAGCCTGGCGAGAGCTTGTTGTTTAAGAGTATGGCACTCCTCCTCCCTCACCATGGGACAGGCCTAGTCCCCCTTTGCCATCCACTATGGCTGAAAGCTTTCTGAGGCCCTCACCCAAGCATGTGCCGGTGGCATCCTCTTGTAGGACATGCAGAACTGTAAGCCAAATAAACCTCTTTCCTTTATAAATTACCCGGGCTCAGGTATTCCTTGATGCAAATGCAAAACAGACGAATACATCATCCCACTATAAAAAAGAACTTTCCTTTTCCCTCCTTTTACTCATTTATTTGTTTACTTATAACTCTATTGACTATGAATTCTTACTTTATTCGATAGGGGCCTTTGAGGTTTTTTTTGGGTTTTTTTTGTTTTTTTTGTTTTGTTTGTTTGTTTGTTTTTTGAGTTGGAGTCTCACTCTGTCACACAGACTGGAGTGCAGTGGCCGCTCCCGGCCACCACAGCCTCAACCTGCTGGGCTCTGCGATCCTTCCGCCTCAGCCTTCCGAGTAGCCGAAATTACAGGCATGCGCTACCACGCCCGGTTGATTTTTTTGATTTATTGTAGAGATGAGGTCTCGCTGCCCAGGCAGGTCTCGAACCCGCGGGCTCAGGCAATCCACTCACCTCGGCCTCTCAAAGGCATGGGATTACAGGCTGAGTTTTTAATAGCACTCTTCAAGACTGGGTGTGGTAGACCATGTCTGTAATCCAAGCACTTTGGGAGGCCGAGGCAGGAGGATCACTTGAGCCTAGGAGTTTGAGTCCAACCTGGGCAACACAGCGAGACCTCGCCTCTTCAAAAAAAAAAAATCTAAAAATTAGCCAGGTCTGGTGGCATGCGCCTGTAGTTCCAGCAACTTGGGAGGCTGAGGTGGAAGGATCACCTGAACCCAGGAGGTTGAGGCTGTGGTGAGTCATGATGGTGCCACTGCACTCACAGAGACTCCAGCTTGACTGAATGGATAGATAAAAGTACTCTTCATGGAAGGCTGAGACGGAAGATCGCTGGAGCCCAGCAGGTCGAGGCTGCAGTGGCCGGAAGCGGCGATAGAGTGAGACTCCAACTTAAAAAAAAAAAAATTACTCTTCAAATACAGGTGACAGAAACTATAAATCTGGACTATTAATTATTATTAAGCATTATGAATTAGGCATAGTTTTTTCATCAGGCAAGAGGAAAACGATTAAACGGAGGACTCCGCTTGTTTTGGATGCCTGTGGGTAAGAAAGGTTTAAAAGCCCGCAGTGCTGCCATGAGGATATTGGCATGTGGTTCTCGCAATAGACAATGTGAATTATCACCACCCGGTTGCAGTGTTGCTCATCATCAGACATGATATCATTACCCAAAAATTCCATCCAAACAACTCATCTGTTTCTCCACAACTAGCAAGCTTGAATGTTCTGGCAAACTCAAAGGGACATGATTTACAAATAGTAGGTAATATTTGGATCTTTCCACAAGAGCTGGATTCCAGCTTGCTTTTTTTTTTTTTTTTACAAAATACAAATGAGTTCATTTTGAAGCTCACTGTGTCACTTTCTCAACAAACAGATCCTCATATCAGAAATCAGGCCTGTATTATATACAAATAGAATGGGCTCGTGCATATTTATGTTGTGGTCAGAGACCACACACCCGGTGGCCATTTACAATATGTAGAGTGCTCCTGATTCCACAAAGGGGGTCTCCGAGCTGAAACCAAGGTTCAGGCCACACAGAGGACAGATGACAACAGGTCCTGCTCTCATGTGCATGCTAGACACGACTCTCCATCCACAGAAGAAGACATGGGTGTGTTTGCTTTCCGCGAATGTTCATCTGTGTCATCCAAATATCACTATATGCACACTCCATGTTTAACACTCTTTCAACTCTGGTATTATGTCAATGAAAGTAAGTCTTTTTTTTTGGCCAAGCACAGTGGCTCATGCCTGTAATCCCAGCATTTCTGGAGGCTGAGGCAGGAGGATTGCTTGAGCCCAGGAGTTCAAGACCAGCCTGGGCAATACAGCAAGAACTTTTCTCTTTAATAAACAAACAAACAAACAACTTTTTTAAAAAATAAAGTAAGCCTTTAAAAAAAAAAGTCTTGGCCAGGCACAGTGGCTCAAGCCTGTAATCCCAGCACTTTTGGGAGGCCGAGGTGAGGGGACTGCCTGAGCCCATGGGTTTAAGAACAGCCTGGGCAACTTAGCAAGACCTCCTCTCTACAAGAAAACCAAAAAATTAGCCGGGTGTGGTAGCATGCGCCATATATACATTCCAAGTAGTTCCAGCTACTTGGAAGGCTGAGGCAGAAGCCTCACCTGAGCCCTGCAGGTCGACACTGGGGTGGCCATGAGCATGCCACCATAACTCCAGCCTGGGCAACAGAGCGAGACTCCAACTCAAAAAGAATAAAAATTAAAATCAAAATTTAAAAAACCTTGCAAAGTCTTAGGATCATTATATCCTTATCCTAAGGATTCGTTTGGGATGATTTCAAACACTTACCAAGAAACGTCGGGAGACCCCAGTGGCAAGTCTCTCTGTCTTTAGATGCCAGATGAGGGGCTGTGGAGAATTTAGCAGGAACACAACAGGCTTGTGGTGAATGTGGACCGAGGAGATGGGATTCAGGTGCAGCGTGACCTAGGCAACAACACAGAGAGGAGAGAAAACTTAGTGCTGGCTTTCCATGAGAATCACTCAGAGAAGCATCTGGAAGACCTTTTCACAAGTCACCATGAGGAGAACAAGCTATAAGCCAGTTTGGATTCTATGGGTAAGACATATTAGGTCGAACCCAATGAGACACCAATATTTGACCATTTTCAACACAAAATGGCTTTTTCATATAATTCAATCATACTAATCTCAACCAAAACATGATTTAGTTCTAAAATGACAGAGAGAAAAACAAAGTTGTTTTTTTTTCAAAATTGCAAAGGTGGAATAAAAGTTCTCTTTCCTCAGGACAGCCTTATTCTTTTAGTCAAAGGACAAAGTTGAACACTGGAAAACAGAATTCCCTGGGGGTCAGCCCCCCGGATCTCCAGAGAACAGCCTCTGGAAGGTGACGGGAAGTGAGCTCTGCCAAGGAAAAGTGCCGAAAGCGAAGAGAACAGGGTTGCCAGGGAGCTGCTGGTGCTCTCATCATCCCAGCTGTGAGCTTCAGAGCTTTTCCAAAGAAATGATGCACAGAGGACAATAGAATAAAAACGGATGGCACAGCACCTGTCAAAAGAAAAACACAGAACGAAAGGAGAGAGGGAAGGAAGGAGGAAGGGAGAAAAGGAAGGAAGGAAGGACACATGAAGGAGGGAAGGAAGGGAAGACAGAAGGAAGAAGAAAACTGTGAGCTGATAGGAAAACTGAGGGCAGTTTTGACAGCGGGTCAAGGACTACTGTAGGCCACCACCGTCATCATTGGCCTCCCCAAAGAACACCTGTGGGCAGAGCCAGGAAAAGTGAACCCGGGAGCCCGGGCCAGTCAACACAAACACAGAAAAGCAAGAGGACAAGTGAAGAAATACTGACTAGATGTTGCTATACGAGCCTGTACACAGGCTGGCTTGTACAGAGGGGTGAGACAGACCCAAGAATCACATATTTAAGCCGAGTGAACCCGCCAAAGATCACCATAAAACAATAAGGGAGGGACAGGACGAAAAAGGACTTTGGCTGGAAAGATCCAGACCGTGAGAGACACTGCGAATATATAGTAGGATGTCTCAGCCATGAGTCTCATGAGGACGAAATGGTTGAGGTCTATGATCTGGTCTATAATGGCGTCATCAGGGAGACAACACTAAAAACTGGACCACTTGACATTTTCCCAGTGGCTGCTGGCCCACTTTGATCTCAGCATTTCTCTCCCTTTTTTTGTAGACTACCTATGAACAATGTCACTCATTATAGTACACTCACAGGCCACTGGTAAAAGGCACTGACCCTTAGTTCGCTTTCAAAAGCTATGCTTTATTTAGCACATCATGGGCATTCAGTAAGTGCCAATAGAATGTTTAATTCTCTGCGTTTCAATACCACAAAAGTACTTTATTCTAACAATTTGCACTATGCCGTATAACAGCAGCTTGTTTGTTAACTATTGAGTACGCATGTCTTAATTTCCAGAATAAAATATTCCAAGATATGTCTTCTGTTCACTCCTGTACCTCACTTATCATATACAATAGTAAATATTGACTGATTTATCACAGCAAATGCATAAATCTGTGTTACTTAAATGGGGGAAAAAGGCTGAAGGTATTCTATTAATAGATTCAAAGGGGTCTATCTAACTGGACTGCAGAAAAATGCAAAAATATGAGGATTCTACTGTCATGAGCTGTCTCTGTACCTAGCTAGGATCTTTTTTTTTTTTTTGAGTTGGAGTCTCACTCTGTCACCCAGGTTGGAGGGCAGTGGGCATGCTCACAGCCACTCCAGCATCGACCTGCTAGGCTCCAGTGATCCTTCCGCCTCAGCCTTCCAAGTAGCCGGGACTATAAGTATGAGCCACCACGCCTGGCTAATTTTTTTTTATTTATTGTAGAGACGAGGTCTCACCAAGTTGCCTAGGCTGGTCCCAAACCCACAGGCTCTGGTAATCCACTTGCCTCGGCCTCCCAAAGTGATGGGATTACAGGCTGAGCCACGAGCCTGGCCTAGGATCATTTTTGATTGCTCCTAGCACAGTGTTCAATCAAAGTAGCAAGGGAACGGTAATGTCAAACACAGCTACTGCAAAATTACGTGTTTCTCTGGGTTGTTCAGGCGCTACATCACAGCACACTTTGGAGATGCTGCCTGCATCTAGAAATGAACAGATTGGCAGCTACTGAAAATAAGAGAGGCTGCAGGAACAGGACAGAGATGCTAACTGCAGCACTCACCAACCAGAGAGCTGCACACTACAGAGATCACATGCTACAGAGAGTAAAGAAAGGATGAAATCACCTTTTACATAAGAGAACCTGAAAACTGCAAAGCAACACTCTGACTTGCGCTAACATCAAATGCATCAGTGAAAAGTTTCCCCATCTCTTCACTCCACAACAGTTTGAGTACCATCACGGCACAAAGAATAGCCATGTACATCTGGAGAGTTTACAGCAACCCTTTTCCTGATGATTTTCTTTGCAGCCCTGGGGCATACAATTCTTAGAGTTCGTAGGTATGCGAAAGTTTTGGTCAAAATATACCCTACCAAATGCTAACGAGTAGATCTCTCAAATGAACAAGAATTTGTGGCAAACGCTTACGAAACAAAAAGAAAAAGATGGATGAGACAGACATTGGTGCTCAAGTCCAAAATTTTCCAGATGGTCCAAAGTGTTGAGGACTGGCTCATACAATCAAGGAAAGATTTCTAGGAGCTACAGCTCTCTGAGCGTTCTTGGAAACGACTCCCTCTTCAATATGTGGCAGTGTCTGGCCAAGAAGAATCTCTCACTCTGGCACACGGGGTCCGGGCAAAGCCCCAAAAGCCATTTGGCAAAGAAGAATTCACACTGCGATTGGGAAATTAAAAGAAAAATACCCAGTCCTTTGTTTGAAAAGATCACTTGGCAGGGACAGAGAGTCCTTCAAGTACCCGCTCACCTAGTTCCCTCAGCACCTGGCTCTCCTTTGCTTCCTCCACTTGAGTAAGTGAGGGAAGATAAAAGACAACCCAAACAACCAACAAAAGAAGGAAGGTTCAAAAGCTCCCAGAAATGTTGGGGAGAACATGCCAGGAATATCTCAACGAATTCCCAGCTACATTGCCTAATTTCTCCCAAACTGAAAAAAAAAAAGAAAAAGGAAAAGAAAAGGAAAATCTTCTTTAGCATCAATGCTAGCTTGGGATAGACTATAGTAACAAAAATAAGAACATCCTAAAAAATTTTTAAAAAAGAAAAAGGCAGGGCATGGTGGCTCACGCCTGTAATCCCTTGAGCCCAGGAATTCAAGACCAGCCTGAGCAACATAATGAGACCTTGGTCTCTATATTATCTTTTTAAAAAAATTTTTTAAATAAGAAAGAACATCCTGCTTACCTTTTTTTTTTTCATGGTTAGATTGCCAGTGACCATGGTCTAAAAACCAGAGTTGAGGCAGAGGGCAGCAAAGAAATACCCCATGGAGAAATGATACAAATGTTATCCCACAACTTCCAGCTTGGAAATGTAGAGTCGTTTAAAGAATTGACCTTCCTCAGCCTGTAATCCCAGCACTTTGGGAGGCCAAGGTAAGAGAATTGCCTGAGTTCGAGACCAATCTGGGCAACTTGGTGAAGCCTCGTCTCTAAAATAAATCACAAAATCTACCCAGGCATAGTGGGTCTGTATTTCCGGCTACTTGGAAGGCTGAGGCAGAAGGATGGCCTGAGCCCAGCAGGTCGAGGCTGCAGTGGCAGTGAGCATGCCACTGCACTCTGGCCTGGGTGACAAGAATGAGACTCCAACTCAAAAAAAAAAAAAAAGAGTTGATCTTCAATTATATGTTAACTTTACACATAAAAACACAGACTAGAGCTTGGTCTATGAACTTCATAAGTAATAAGGGACAGACATAGGGCTGTGAAGGTTAACGGCACTAAAGGGAATACATCCCCAAAGAAGAAACAGGACAAGTCTCTAGGTCAGTGGCTTCTTTACAAATCTCTGGGAGTCATGGGACACTTGAGGACTTAGTGCAAATATGAACCCTCTCTTCACCACAACAAGCAAACAAACAAACAGACAAAAAACATACCGTACAAACTTTTACAGACAGTGTGAGGGTAAAGGAAAGAAAAAGATGGTCCCGCCCCTAAATGGAGGAAAGCCAATGGATCTAATCAGTTCTACAACATCTGTTCGTACATTCTTGGTCTCCCGTGGTTGTCTGTGTGCTGCAACAAACATAATATACGTTGTGGGAACCCATGAACTCCAAGTTAAGTACTCATTAACACGGGTTAAGAAACCTCATAAAAGAGCAAGCAAATTCTAACAGCCTAGATGGAAACAAAATGGGTCCATCTGATTAAACTAGAAATGACACCTCTGGTCAGAAGGTGTCATACTTTCACGGAAAGAATGAATAGATAACCAGTCAGAACTTACAAACGTTTGCAAGTACTTGCTGGGGTTTCAGGGACCTCTGGACACCAATACTTTGACCACAGGTTCATGAAGCTTAGCCCAAGAGTTCCTGCTCGAATCATGCTTGTCTCAAGCTGTGCTGAGTGTCCTGATGGTTTGAGAAAATGCAAGCCAATCTGATCTGCCCTATCCCATATGTGGTTCCCAGCTCACACACATCGCTGGTCCCTCCACTAAACGGAGGAAAGCCAATGGGTCTAATCTGTTCTACAAATCTGTTCATATATCCTAGGTCTCCTTGTGGTTATCTGTGTGCTGCAACAAACATAATAGACATAATTTTATAAAGAAATTTAGGCTGGGTGCAGAGACTCACGCCTGTAATCCCAGCACTTTGGAGGCCAAAGTGGGAGGATTACTTGAGCCCAGGAGTTCGAGACCAGCCTGGGCAATATGGTAAGCAAGACTCTGTCTCTACAAAAATTAGCTTGGTGTGGTGGTACACACCTGCAGTCCCAGCTATTCAGGAGGCTGAGATGGCTTAAACCCAGGAGACTTGAGGCACCACTGTATTCCAGC